CGCAACGATCTCTCTCTGAGGAGAAGTCATAGCCGAATGTCTCTGTCTTTTCTGGCTCTGGCAGTCAGGTTGTGGCAATGGGTACACTTCTGTGAGATGTATTCCTCTCCCAGGCAATGGGTGCATTGTGGATGACCATCAATTTCTGGGAGGGCATCCTGGCAGGAAAAACAACTCAAACCTGGAGATCAGGGCATAAAGGTGAGGGAGAGAGCTTCCCAGTCGGGAAGAGCAGGAAGGGGGAAAACAAAGCCCTAAGTTATGAGCTAACGGGGAGGGTAAGAGGAAGGAAAACGAAGTGTGTTTTGTTTTTCTTCTTTCTTGGGAAAGGACGAGAAAAGGAACAAACTAACTACTAAAACTACACTAAAACTAACAGATAAGGCACTGCCTAATAACTGAAAGGAGAAGCAGGCTCTGCTGCAGATTCTGTCCCAGATCAAAGATGGCAGAGAAGGAACTGGGGGGCGGTTAGACTGCACAGTGCTATATATACCCATGCCGCTCACAGTGCAAGACGGGGAGGCACCCATGCGTGGTCCCACAGGCACTGCTGATCTCCAATCCCAGGTGGTGGGGGCCCTGCCATACCTATAGTGGAGCACCCATAGGGACATCACTTGAAGAAAAAGAGCAAGATTTATCACACTGAAGACAGCAGAATAAAAATCACTGTGCTAACATAGCCTGTAATTTCTGTAGTTATCTACAAGGATGTTAAGCAATTTCCAACAGGAAGGAAAGTGGCATGGGAGATAATCTGGATGGGAGGTGTACATAAGACAGTTTCTGTTAAGATGTGGTCTACACCTAAGACCAAGAATGCCTCTCAACCATGCACATGACGAGAATAACTGGCAAGTACCAGACCACACTCCAAGCCAACACATGCCTGAAGTATGACAGGATCATAGGTCTGGCATGAACAATTCGAGTGATGTTCCTCAGGCAGTTATCCATTGCTAGGGGTGAAATATAGGAGCACTCTTGAAATGATTTTATATTATGGAAAGTCATGTTGTCACTCCATAATTAAGGCACAAGGAAGCCTATTGTTACAAGATTGATTGTAACTTTCATTCGAGAGGGTGGAAATCATTCTGCTCTGCACAGCTTTTTGAAATTTTAAACAGGTGAAAAACTCACCATGTATTAACTAGCAATTCCACTGAAAATAAAAAGTTGCTGGAAAATGATGTTTGCAGATCTTCATTATGGAAATCCAGTGTCAGATCTAGAGCTGATTCCAGGATGTTGAATACTAACAGCAAATTGATTTCTTGATCATTTTATAATTAATAAGTGTTTAATCTGATTCTGTGAAGGTTGATGGGAGGACAAGATTTTAACTATCCTCCCCATTTGTTATAACCTTTCAAATTTCAAGTGAAACTGAATAATAGTTTTCATATTTAAGCATTAAGAATATAGTACAAAAAGGATTTTTTTTTTACATCAAGAGTATAACGTAATCAGATTTACAGCAATCAGAAAAAAAGTTTACTGTTCCAATACTTTAACAGCATATTAACATCAACATACGTTAAATATTAAAACATTTCACCATGCAATTAATTATTTCTTCTATTTTGTGCACATAGGTGGTGGCAGTAATGAGCTGCCAAAATCTTAACAACAGGTTCCCTCATCAACCCACGAGGGGGTCGTTGCCCACCCCTGCCCCCCGGGACTCCTGCCCCATCCAACCCCCTCCCCTGTCCTCTGACTGCCCCCCAGAACTGGGCAGGAGGGTCTCGTGGGCTACCGTAGTGGGTGCCCACCCCACCCCTAAGAGCCAGAGGCACCTGCCGGGGGGCGAGGTGGGGAGTCCCGGCGGTGCTTACCTGGGGCAGCTCCCAGGAAGCATCCGGCAGGACTCCTAGGGGTGGGGGAGCGTAGCTGTGGGGGAGCAGGGAGCTCCCCCCACTCATCACATCAAAAGTGGTGCCGACTCCCTGGGTACACCGCCCCGCTCTGCTTCTCTGTGCCCCCCCCACCCCGGCTTCCCGCGAATCAGGTGTTCAGAGGGAAGCCTGGGAGGACTGAGAAGCAGGCCGCAGCTTCCCACTCAGGCCGAGGGTGACGGAGATGAGCTGGGGTGGGGAGCGGTTCCCCTGCGGGTCCCCAGTTACCTGCTGTGGCGCGGGCAGCCCTCCTTGCGCCCCCCTCCGCGTGAGCTCACCTCTGCTCTGCCTCCGCCCGCCCCTCCCCCCCCCGCTTCCCGCGAATCAGCTGTTTGGCAGGAAGCCTGGGAGGGCTGAGAAGCAGGCCGCGGCTTCGCGCTCAGGCCAAGGGTGGTGGAGGTGAGCTGGGGCGGGGAGCGGTTCCCCTGCAAGCCCCCCACAGGTTACCTGCTGCGGTCCAGGCAGCCCTCCTCGCGCCCCCCACCCCCGCCCGAGCTCACCTCCGCTCTGCCTCCCTGGGCCTGAGCCCAAAGCAACCGCTTGCTTCTCAGCCTGCCCTGGCTTCCCAGGCCAACAGCTGATTTGCGGGAAGCCTGGGGAAAGGGCAGAGAAGTGGCGTGGGGTGGCGCGTTCAGGGGAGGAGGCGGAGGCGAGCTGGGACCGGGGGTGGGGCGGGGAGCTGCCAGTGGGTGCTCTGCACCCACCAAATTATCCTCTTGGGTGCTCCAGGGCTGGAGCACCCATGGAGTTGGTGCCTAAGGCGCCACTTTGGGCCAGTTAAATTTAGAAGCCCTTTTAGAACCGGTTGTCCCCTGTGGAACAACCAGTTCTAAAAGGGCTTCTAAATTTAGCAACCAGTTCTAGAGAACCGGTGCGAACCGGCTCCAGCTCACCACTGGGTGGTGGTGGTTGTAGGGTGAGTCAAGCTCTAAGCTGCTGTTATATTTTTACCGGTATATGAAATACTTGTTTGGGTGGGGGAGGGGGAGAGAAATGACATGGTTTTAAAACAAAATAAGAGATAGGCTAAGTTTTGGGACTTGATATTAAAGAGTTAATAATAAAACATTCCCTAATTAAAGTGACAAGTCTAAAATGGTGTCTGAAGGAGTTTTGGTTACTGCTGTTACTTTTGAATCATAGAATATCAGGATTGGAAGGGACCTCAGGAGGTCATCTAGTCCAACCCCCTGCTCAAAGCAGGACCAATCCCCAATTTTTGCCCCAGATCCCTAAATGGCCCCCTCAAGGATTGAACTCACAACCCTGGGTTTAGCAGAGCATATTTTAGATGACTAAACAAAACAAATTAAGAAAAATATTTCAGGTTTTTTCGGTGTTACTTTTTTGCATTTAACAGTGCCCGGATACACGAGTTTCACTTTTGTTTCATGTACTAACATGAAAATATAACATTCATGCACACTACTCTGGAGATGAGGGGTAGAGAACTCAACTGCATGTTCTTCCCTAGGCATAGAAGGAAGGGATAAAACAAAGCAGCAGTTGCTGTTTTAGTATGAATAGATGATCCTGTGAAATAAGGTTCAAACCAGAATGATCCCACTGATGGGGTCTTTTACATCAATGGGATATGCTCCTTTAAGGGGTCACCCACCCTGACCCCTTCCCAGCCAGGACTTTTCCACCAGGTCAAGGTAGTGCAATTTGACCATGCAATGAAGGTAGTTTTTGTAACTCCAGGCATAAGAATCCTAGTGGGCTAAGAAGGGTGAGAGTGAGACGTTTCTTTTGGAAGCACAGAGTTACGTTTAAGGTTCATTGAGAGTGAAGGTGGCAGTCACTTTCTGAGGACACACTTTGTTATCTGCTTTCCCATTTTAAGTCTGAAGCTAGGGAGCTGGTCTGAAGGGGAAGGAGGGTGGCAGCAGCAGGATGAAAGGAGTTTTCATGGGGCTTGAGAGAAGCAGCAGCCATGTATGGGACAGGGAATTTCCTCCACGGAGCCAACGGAGCAGGGACAGTCAACAGAGAAGAAGAGACTACTTCCCTACATGGAATCTGGGCAGAGGGCAGCAGTAGTGAACAATTACTGACATTTGAGTTTTATTAATTATTATTTCCCTCATAGCCCAGCCTCTGGTGCTTCCCTCAATGAAGTCATCCCCGGTGCTTATCACAATGTTTAGAGGCATAAATTCAACATTATGTATTCACTTCTCGATTAAATCAGAGTAACTGACAGACTAACAGGAGGCACCCTAAACTTTGTTATACAAAGTTTTAGTAACTGACAAAATGCTAAGAAAAACTATGGCAAATATGAATAAATCATATTCATATATAAATTGCCTCCCCCCCCCCCCCATGAAACCCATTTCCAACATTTCCAAAACAGGATGGAAACTGGTCCAAAATCTGACAGCATGTTACTATAATACCACTGTTGCAAAGTCTTTTCTAGAATTATTATTACACAAATGACAGGCTCCGAGCTATCAGTTTTAATCTTTATTTCCAGTTTATTTATACATTACGAGAAACTTCATTCCAGTGGACATTTCAAAATGCTATACTAACAAAAATGGGTATAACGTTCATGGAAGAAACACAGCAATTATAACACCTTTGCTAGGTTTCTTCATTTTTCAGTCCCATCAACTCTAATAAATTTGAACAGAAACAGAAGCACAGGTTACATTGCTGCGTAATGTATTTGCCAGATACCTGCCATTGGCTATAGGGTTGTGTGCATCAGGAAGTTGCACTGGTTTAACAAACTGTTTTTTTAAACCTATCTAGTTCATCTGGCACAAAAGGCTGTTGGATACACTCATATTTTTGTTTAAGCATGGCATATTCTGGTTTGGCTTAAGTCTATTTCTAACCGAGCTAAACTGAAATATGACAGTCAGACCAAACAGGACCATCCACACAGCTTTTTTGGAACAGATTTAGTTATATCATTTTAAATTCACACCTTAAGCTAAAGCAGCTTTCTTACATAGACACACCCTATGATTTTCTGATGGTAGACCTTCAGGAATGTTATAGTTATTCTGTGGGTTTGGAAGTCTTAGATCTTTGTGTGCTATACCTTCCACTAATTCTATTAGAGGTAGATAAGCAACTTACCTGAATAAAAAGTGTTGATTTTGGCAAGTTCCTTCTCACAGGTTTGGAAGAACTTCTCCTCAAACTTGGCAAAATACCTCTTCACCGTGTCCTCATCTGTGACTGTGAAACAAGAAGAAAAAGTTTATAGTAAGAGAATAAGGAAAGAGGGTTATGAAATCACCTGCCAATGTTAATTTTGGTCTCTCTTGGTGACAAATGTGAAAATATTTCTCCAGAGAACAAGCCATCTTCCCTGTAATAATTGGCAGAATGTCAGGAAATATCAAATCCAAATACTCCTTGAGGGGACATAACCCTCACTTGACTGGAACGTTTTTTGTTCTCTTATTCCAAATCTTTGCTGCAATGGAGTTTAACAATGCCCAAAATCTAGCAGGGAGAGGAAGGAGGAAGATTAATCAAGATGAGTAATGACACACAGGTGCAGCTACTGAGGGCACAAAGACATATCACCTCAATTTCACTATTGAGTTCACTCTCCTGCCTAAACACTGCTGTAGGTTTCATGCACTCTCATCCTGGTCCCTAAACCAACTTTCTGTACAGAAGCTGCACCTCTAGCAACAGATCAGATGAAAAGACTGCTTTTTTACTCTAGGAATTCAGGCTGGACTTTGCGTTAGCCCATAAAGGAAACAAATTTAAGGGTGAGTTAGAGGTCGACTGGTAAGATTCTGGTTTATAAATTTTTATTTGGCGCAAACTCAATCTAAACATGTATTACTGATTTCTTTGGTAAAAACAGTGAAGTAAGAAATGGGGCTCTAAAATATGGGACTTTTTGCAAACAGATAAGAAAAAAAGCCAACTGCCCAATAATCTTAGTGTAAAATAGAACATCTTCCTGTTCTATTTTACTTTACTTGCACTCTTACATATATTTGTCTAAAACTATTTTTGCTCCCCCATCAGTGCATAAGACACAAGTCTACTAATGCAAACTTGTCCAAAGTGTTTAATAAAACACAGGGGTTATTCCCAAGTTTAGTGCACCTGAAAGCCTAGGCGCAGCAGTCACAGAAGCAGTATGGTAAATGCTCTGTGGTTCATACTTTAAGTACTATATTCCTGTCATTGTTTTACCATTACATTCCTTCATTTTTGAGGGGTCTAACTTCAGTTTGCATTGTGTTGGAATTGTATACAAGTTCTCAGCCCAGAAGAGATGCTGGTTTTACTTTAAAAAAAAACAAAAAACCCCAATTGAGCATTTACATTTATACTGAGTCTGCAAAACTCAGTATAAATGGAACACTAATTTGTGTTTAAAACAGAAGTCTCAGACTCTTACATAGAGGGCCAAATTAAATTTTTTGTTATAATCCATGGGTTCTAAAAGAATCACCCCCCCCTTCATATCTGTTAGAATCCCCACACCTTCATACCACCCAGAAATCTTGTGTCTCTAAAAATATTTTCCAGTCATGCAGGGAAAAGCAGTACTGTACCTTCCCCTTGACTTCTAAAGACTTCCTCTTTACACTCCTGGTATTTTACTACTTCTCTCCCCATCATATTTTCCCTCAATATGTTGCTCAACTTTTCCCATCCTCGTCAGATCTTTTTCTCTGGTTCACTCTATTGTGCTGTTGCAGCAGACTTCCAAATAAAACTCGCACAATGTTTCATTTTGAAACCAAAGATTCAATTTCACTTTCACGTGACAGCTCAGTGGTGTCCTTCAAAACAATTCACTGTGGCCAGTCACATATTTCAGAGTCTGAGGTGAAGAGTTCCATGCTATGGAAATGACAGTACATAACTTCAAAGAAGCCATTTTAAGGACTCATTTATAAAACCTCTTCACATTTTGTATTGACATGCAGCAATAAGAAAGGAACAGTTTTGTCTCATCTCAGTCTCTCTGCAGTCTAAGGACTAGAAGAGGAAAACAAACCTTGAAAATAAAGCTGTGCTAAGAAATTCTAAAAATCATATAATCATGAAGGCAGGTCAGAATTTAGACACAAAAAATGGTTGTGTCAAGTGAAAGGAAGGCTATACAAATGCCGCAAAAAATATTTACTAATTATTAAACATTTTCCTTTAAACTCCATTTTACAGGCTTCTGACTGGAGTGGATGCCAGAGTCTTAAAAATCAGTTTTTTTTTTCTGGTAACAAACGGTTTCCTTTCAGTTCAGTTTCTCACTGCAGCTCAGTAATTTAGCTGCAATAATAGACTAATTCTGCCCAAGGCTATTCCATATTTATTGTTTTTGAAGCTGAACAGGACAAGGTTTTCTGCCATGTGAAAGCCATGATGCCAGAAGTTGCCCTTGGATTAAGAAGCTCCATGACAACAGAAGCTGCTTTTACAAGGCACTATAGCTGCCAAAAAGGACCGGCAGCCACTTTCCTTTATGCTTTTTCTACATCCCTAATGGGTTTTTTGTTCTCGTCCCCATGGTGCCGCCATGAATCTGGTTGAAGATGAAACTCTGATCAGTATAACCACCTCTCAATTGTATCCCACAGCTTTACAGAAAATTGTATGGATTTCCACGTTTCCAATTCAGAGAAAGTAAGTGGGAAAAGCCATTCTCACTTGCAAAACCAAAAGTAAAAGAGAAACCTATGCAACTTCTGACACGCCTACACTTTTCAGTTTCTTGCACTTTGAGCTCAGACAGCAGCTGAGAGATGAAAAAAGCATGATGGATATTAGTATACAAATTCCCTTCACATACATCAGGGGTGGCCAACCTGTGGCTATGGAGCCACATTCAGCTCTTCAGAAGTTAATATGTGGCTCCTTGTATAGGCACTGACTCCAGGGCTGGAGGTAGAGGTGCCAACTTTCCAATGTGCCAGGGGGTGCTCACTGCTCAACCCCTGGATCTGTCACAGGCCCTGCCCCCACTCCACCCCTTCCTGCCCCCTCCTCTGAGCCTGCCATGCCCTCGCTCTTCCCCCTCCCTGAGCCTCCTGCATGCCATGAAACAGCTGATTGGGAGGTGCAGGGCGCGAGGGGGAGGGTTGCGGGGGGGGGGAGGGGCTGGGAGCCGGGCAGAGCTGATGGGGCGCTGCTGACATATTACTGTGGCTCTGTGGCAATGTATATTGGTAAATTCTGGCTCCTTCTCAGGCTCAGGTTGGCCACTGACATACGTTTATTGTTGGAGTTAAAATATTTTCAGTACATTTGTAAGCAATTAGTTTAATGGCTTGTGTTCTGGCAGCTGTACTGTAATCATTGTAGCAACTAATTGTGAGAGAAGCAAACAGCTCTGCTCTATCAGATAGAGCCAGAAGAGTTCCCAGAAGTCACCTACTACAGGACAGGCCTAACAAAGAAAATAACAGAACGCCACTAGCCGTCACCTTCAGCCCCCAACTAAAACCCCTCCAACGCATTATTAAAGATCTACAACCTATCCTGAAGGATGACCCAACACTCTCACAAATCTTGGGAGATAGGCCAGTCCTTGCCTACAGACAGCCCCGCAACCTGAAGCAAATACTCACCAACAACCACATACCACACAACAGAACCACTAACCCAGGAACCTATCCTTGCAACAAAGCCCGTTGCCAACTGTGCCCACATATCTATTCAGGGGACACCATCACAGGGCCTAATAACATCAGCCACACTATCAGAGGCTCGTTCACCTGCACATCCACCAATGTGATATATGCCATCATGTGCCAGCAATGCCCCTCTGCCACGTACATTGGTCAAACTGGACAGTCTCTACGTAAAAGAATAAACGGACACAAATCAGATGTAAAGAATTATAGCATTCATAAACCAGTTGGAGAACACTTGAATCTCTCTGGTCACGCGATTACAGACATGAAAGTTGCGATATTACAACAAAAAAACTTCAAATCCAGACTCCAGCGAGAAACTGTTGAATTGGAATTCATTTGCAAATTGGATACAATTAACTTAGGCTTGAAAAGAGACTGGGAGTGGCTAAGTCATTGTGCAAGGTAACCTATTTCCCCTTGTTTTTTCTCCCCCCCCCCCCTCAGATGTTCTTGTTAAACGCTGGATTTGTGCTGGAAATGGCCCACCTTGATTATCATACACATTGTAAGGAGAGTGATCACTTTAGATAAGCTATTACCAGCAGGAGAGTGGGGTGGGGGGAGGTATTTTTCATGCTTTGTGTGTATAAAAAGATCTTCTACACTTTCCACAGTATGCATCCGATGAAGTGAGCTGTAGCTCACGAAAGCTTATGCTCAAATAAATTGGTTAGTCTCTAAGGTGCCACAAGTACTCCTTTTCTTTTTGCAAATACAGACTAACACGGCTGTTACTCTGAAACCTGTCATTATGCTACACATAAATATCTCCACGGTATTCTATATTTCTAATGCTTTTCTAATAGGTGTTTGCAACACAAAGAAGAACAGGAGAGTCATTTTTGTAAGCTTTTAATGCTTGTTCGGGTTATCATATACACATTTTACACTCTGCAATATTTTTAAACTTAAGAGGATTATTGTTTAGCACCAATATGTTAAGTAAAGATATAAACATCTTAAGATTCAAGTGACGCAAACCACTAAAACTTTGCCTATGGTTACCATGTCATCAGAATCTATTGATATGTACATAGCCTAATAAGGTCAGTTTCCTGTACAATATTCTCCATAGGTTAGGTCCAAAGAGCAATCTATGCAAAAAAATTACTTATGACACATTAAAGATAAAGGCGGAGGGAAGAAAAGTTTGTCCCAAAGACTGAAAAAAGAATACATTTCTCCACTTCCCCAACCTGAATGGTCTCTAGGTAGAACAAATGCTTCCTCAAACCAGAAGTAACCCCTTTTTTCTCCTCCTAGTTTTGAACTGCCTTTTAAAAAAAAAAAATCCCCACATCCCTAGCTCCTAACATCAAATAGTGGTGCCCTGCAAATCTGTTGCAAAGGTCAAAAACTCATCTAATTTATGCTTGAAACGCAAACATTTTGTAATATCCCTGCCTCAGTAAATATGCAGGATACACACAGTCCAGTTTCACTTTATTATTTTTGGTTTATTATAAACATTTATTAATGTTCTTCATTTTAAGTTGCTAATTACTCAAATTGGAATCTCTCCCCATTCTTCCTTTTAAATGAACGTAAAAAGCAACAGCGATG